TGTCTCACACCTGTATCTCCTAATTCAGACACTTGGTTACCCATAAATATTCAACTGCTCTCTTTACCAGCCGTTATAGCTCCTACCAAACCCTCTTAAAAAATTGTTGCATTATCAACTCCATCTACACCCATAGACCCTCCCTTAATAGCTTATTCCACACCTACAAACCCTCCTCTAATAGCACCTACCTCCAAACCCACATCTACCATCAACCCCTATCAAACATATACCATTAGGAAATGCAATCCAAAGTACCATAACTCCAATTACATCCTATATCACACCACCACTACTTCTGTTCCTGAACCATCTTCTATAACTCAAGCTCTCAAAAAACCATTATGGCGAAAAGTGATGCAAGAAGAGTTTGATGCTCTTAAACGAAATCAAACTTGGTCTCTTGTTCCATCCAATTCAACACCAAATTTAGTGGGTTGCAAGTGGATTTATCGAACTAAATTCAAATCAAATGGCTCTGTTGATAGACTTAAAGTCTGCCTTGTAGCTATAGGTTTTCACCAACGTCCCGACTTAGACTACGTCGAGACATTCAGTCCCGTTATAAAACCCGCTACCTTACGCTTAATTCTTGCTTTAGCTACCTCATCTAATTAGCCATTACGTCCGGATATAAACCATGATTTCCTCCAAGGTAATCTTACTGAATCTGTCTACATGTCACACCCACCAGGCTTTGTCGAACCATCTTTTCCCAATCACGTATGCAAGCTTAATAAGGCTATATATGGCCTTCTTCAAGCCTCACGAGCTTGGTATGATGAGTTGAAACACTACATTCTCTCTGTTTATTTCAAACCAACTATATCGAATCTTTATTTCTTTATAAATCGTACAAGCTCCTCTCCTATATTCATCATTGTCTATGTTGATGATATAATCATCACTAACCTAAACACATCCAATATCAACGACTTCTTCACTTCTCTTGCTTCTAGATTCTCCCTTAAAGATCCACGCACCCTTTCATACTTCCTTGGTGTTGAATTCATTCCTCATAGCCATGTTCTTTTTCTTTCCCAAAAAATACATTCTCGACCTTCTAAAACGAGCAAACATGAAAGATTGTAAACCAATGACCACACCAATGTCCAGTTCTGAAACTCTATACAAAACAGATGACACAACACTCGATTTCCCAACCGAGTATCATGCTTTTGTAGGAGATTTACAATATCTTTCTCTTACACGTCCAAATGTTGCATTTACATTCATTAAACTTTCATAATTCATGCATAAACCGACTGACCCAACTGAGTATCATGTTGTTGTAGGAGCTTTACAATATTTTTGTCTTACACGTATAAATGTTGCATTTACAGTCATCAAACTTTCAAAATTCATGCATAAACCGACTGACACTCATTGGGCTGCACTAAAGAGATTGCTATGTTACTTGCATGGGACGATGAACCATGGTTTGTTATTTAAACGCAATTCTTCACTGTATCTTCATCCTTTTATAGACGTTGATTGGGCAGGTGACAAACTAACTTACAAAAGCACAACCAGTTATATTGTTTACCTCGGCTCAAACGCAATCTATTGGTGCTCAAAATGACAACCCACTTTAGCCCATTCATAAATCGAAGCATAATTTGGTGCAGTCACCTCACAACTACCTAAGTACAATGGCTAATGTCCTTATTGTCTGAGCTTGGTTATCAATCCATTGTCACTCCAACTATTTATTATGACAATTTAAGTGCTACACACTACTCGACAAACCCAATTTTTCACTCCGAATGAAACATCTAGCATTAGACTTTCATTTTGTTCGAGAAAATGTTCAAGCCGGTTCAATATGGGTTACTTCCATTGCATGGGATGATCAACTTGCGAATGCCCTCACTACACCCCTCCTTAAACATCGTTATGATACTTTTATGTCCAAGATTGGACTTCTCTGTTGGTCGTCCGTTTTGCGGGGGAATAGTAAACCTGATTCCCTTTCCCACCAATAATTTTGAATTTATTTGAATTATTGTATATAATCAATGTCAAATCCTAATTTGTTGTAGTTTCCTTTTCTTTTGTAGTTTCCTATTCTTGTGGCAGCTAGTCTGTATTTATATGTATTTCCCTTGTTAATGAGAAAACGTTTTTCCGAGTTGATAAGTACATATTATACCCTTTGCTCAAGTTATCTAACAACCAAACCAAAATGGAACTCTCAAGCTGCCTAAAAGTTGTTTATTTGTGTGTGCCGTGTTTGTTGTCCTTATCTATATTTCGGATAGATTAGTATACATACACATACTTCCATTATTTGGAACTCTTAGGAAATGTAACATTCATTTTAATATTATGCGACTGAAACAAAAATATATATATATACATATTCCTTTAAGTCATTACCAAATTGAATTTATTGTTAACCCAAATATATAAGAGAGATATTAATATGGAAAGTAAATTCATAGGATTCTTGAAAACTTGAGATTCATCGGTTACAAAACCCTAATTTCTAACGATAATGTTGCATATAACATACAATACTTGTGTGTGCTTAACCCATTAGTAAACAATGATGATACACCTGGAATCAACGTAAGCAAGTAAGCAACAACTTGTAAAGAGAACGGCTTTTGTAAGACTTTTTTTGTTTATTTTTTTTATTTTTTATTTTTGTTGTTGTTGTAAAGCAACATATGCATGACATAAAATGTATTTTTTTTCTTAAAAGCTTAAAAGTGTAGGAAGTGTGGGTGAAGGTTCTAAAAGTAAGGGCAATGTTTGTGGAAATCGATTTTTATTTTATTTTAATTAATTAATTTATTTTTTAAAGAAGAAGTGGCAAATTTTTTGTTTGGTTGTACCAAGGTTATTAAAATATCGATTTTAATCTTACGATCTTACGATTTTAAGATTGTATAAGTGAAAAACGATCCTAATCACCTTTAGGGGTGTTCGTTTGGATGGATCGGTTCGATCCGATCGATCCAATTAAGTAAATCCAAATTGATTTCTGTTTTAAAAATAAGGATCCGAATAGTCCAAACTAAATTCAAATCCGATCCGATCCGATCCATTTACAATTCAATTGGATCGGTTTTTATAATTCGGTTTCAAAAATCAGAATATTTAAAAACGACATATAATTATAGTATTAGCTAATTTTATAGAAGAAGCAAAAATAAATTATTTAGTTGTGATTTAAATTTTATAAAGAATTATTAGCAAGTAAGAAGGTATATTATAGTTTAATATTTAATAGATAAAAAACTTTTGAAATAAAATGCATATTAATGTTTTTATTAGGTGAAACTTTTTGAACTTATTTGAAAAAGTAAATTATAAAACTAATAAATAATTATAGATATATTAAAATTAAATAATAATAAATTGTTATTCGGTTTTTTTGGACTGTTCGATTCTTACTTTATAAACCAAAACCAATCCGAAATCCAAAATAATAATTCGGTTTTGTTGAAAACTAATCCAAAAAATCCAAATATCTGAACCAAATTGTCCAATTGGACATTTCGGTTTTATCCAAATAGTGAACAGCTCTAATCACCTTACGATCCTCATCTTACCTCTTTAGTTTTATTATATAGCCGAGTATCAAAAAAATCGTTTATTCAACTTGAAATCGAGAGTCATAAGTTGCAAGAAGTCTTCTAGAACATCATTTTATCAATTTCGTCTCGAGTTAAACAGAGCACACCAATAATAATCCGTTGTGATCTTATGTCTTACTTGTACTTGATCAAAATGATCTTATTTCTAATTAAGATGATTTATTCTTAATGTTTATTGTTTATAACAACATTAGGTTATGGGTGATACTTAAGAAGTTAAAGTTGATTATACTATCTTACGAACAGATTTAAATATAAGTTCATTTTGGTAGGATCTTACAATCACGATCCGATCTTAAGATGACGATCTTACAAAACATAAAACGATTTTGGGAGCCCAAACCCGCCCCGATATCTTTCGGGTATCTTATCGGGGCACCCCATTGGGTTTCGGGTTTTTCCATCGGGTTTCGGGTATCTTATCGGGTTTACAGTAATTCATAACAAAATCTTTATTCCGTTTTAGGGTACCCCGATGTCTTATAAAAATTACATGTTCTAGCGTCACTTTTAAATTAAAAATATGATCCATCACTTTAATAAAATAAACTGAACGTTATATTAAAACTTATTTGATTTAAGTTTAGTGCAATACGTCAAAACATAAAAAAAATGATCATTCACACCGGATTGTTAATAACTAAAAAAATTGTCCAATTATTTTATCTTTGAATGCGTGCAATTAACATCAAAAAGTTTTGAACATTATATATATATATATATATATATATATATATATATATATATATATATATATATATATATATCGGGGCGGGGCAGGTCGGGGCAAGAATAACGCATTCCCTGCCCCAAACCCGATAAGGACCGTTATTCGACCCGAAATGATTGGGTTTTGGGTTTTCCCGTCACGTTCGGGCTTTTTTGTCATCCCAAGTATGGAGCATGTATGTATTTGAGGTTAAAGCATCGAGGAAAAATCAAGTGTAAATGGTTATGTAACAACCAAAATAGTTGTTAGTTTTTCTACTCATATATCAAACTCATTCAAGAATATATATTATTTTTTCTCAACATTCATATATAATCTATAACAAACACATCTCTACAAAATCTATCTTTTATATATTTTAATATGCACTTTTGTCATTATGATATTTGCCATTCTCTTTTTTGAAATATTTAATCCAAGAACTTGTAGATAACCAATTCCCATTGTAGCCATTGGTGCAAATCCCATAATGCTTCACACCTTTTCAATAGCCAAGGAGAGGAATCATTTCACTTTCCCATTTGGAGGGTAATTTCGGTATTTCAAGTTTCCTAATTGCTACACTCTCCCACTCCGACTCCCGGGTCGGATCTTTTGTGGGTCTCTGGTCCAGTAGTTGCAATAAGAAATGTATTCTTCAATGCCACGTGGCATTTAGTATTCAACTATTCATGTTTAAACTCATTTGATGATCGGCTTTGTACTTCTGGCTCAACTTTAGTATTTCTACTTTTTGGTGAACCGCTCTCAGAAGCCGATGATAAAGATGTTGACGGCTCCGGCGACCTCCTTTTTGACGTCACTCTAACTGGCTCCGGCTCATTCAAGCCGATTCTGTGTGGGAAGTTTAACAAAGCCTTCGAGCCACGCATCCTATACGCCGCTCGATCGTATGCAATCGCCGCTTCCTCCGCCGTTTCATAGGTCCCGAGCCACACTCTCGCTCCATTTTTAGCAGGGTCTCTTATTTCCGCCGCGAACTTCCCCCACGGCCGTTGCCTAACCCCCCTGTAGTGCTTTCCCTTAGCCGGCGCTATCACCGTCGCCGAAGTTGCAGCAGTTTCCTCCACCGGCGCCGCCACTTCTGATGATTGGAAATGGTCTGTACTTGACGCCGGCGCCGTCTCTTCCATCGACTCGGCTTTTATCTCTTTAGCCGAGAAGTTAAACGGCGTCCACCCAGCAGTAACAGCGTCACGTAAGAAGCCGTATATCACCATATCCTCAGAGTCATCCACCTTCAACGGTAAATCACCCCAATTTTCCGTTAAACATGGCATGAGGCTGCTGAAACTGATGCTCCGGCAAAACACCGGTAGTTCGCCGGGATATGTCGCCGGAAATGCTTCTGTTTGCATCATTGTGAGTGATTTTGGGATTTTAATAAGAGGGTATTTTGATTTTTGATGGATTAAAGAGAAAAAGAGATGAGTAGATGAGAGACGACTTGAAAGAAGAACTTTTGAAGAAAGAGGATAACGAGGGGTTTATATAATGACGGGAGGTTATCAGATAGTAAAAGTACAACAACGGTCCACTACAATTGCCAATATGAACATTCCATCATTTAAGTCTTGTTCTTTTATACATATGGTCCACAAACACATTTTTGTTATTCATTTTAGTCGTTTGTCTATTTTCGTGAATAAGCAAACAAAAAAAGTAGAATTTTGTATTCCCATTTATCCTTCAAGAATAACATCTTCAATAGAAATTGGAATAATTATATTTGATGAGGTTGAATTATATTAAACCTCATCTTCAACTTGAGAGGCATATAATGACATAATGCTTAAAATTTGAGGATTTGATTTAGATCGATATAGATAAATTTTGTAAAGTTTTATTGCTAGAGGAGAGGTTAAGTAATGTCTATGAGATTTTAACATATGAGAGATCCTAATTGTGATTGATTAATTTTATTGCTAGAGGAGAGGTTAAGTAATATATGAGATTTTAACATTTGAGAGATCCTAATTGATTAAGAACTAGATAACATCTTGGAAAGTTATGCGACTCTTGTCCAATCTTTAAAGGATATGATGTTTTTTATGAAGAAAAGGATATGATGTTTTTTATGAAGAAAGGTACGTCAATGCAACAAATCCATGGAAAGCAAAGGATTTCATGTATTTACACTTAATGACTTAAATATTGCCCATGTTTTTTTAATGATGTATGTTTGGTAAAGAATATTACATAACTACATACTCTCCTCATTTTCAATAAAAAGTTGATATTATAGTTCAGGACGAGCGACTTATATCACAACATCTTTTTCGATTTTAATATGTTGGTTTCGTATGAAGACTCTTGCTTTTTGATTTAAGAACATTCCAAAAAATAAAACAAATCCAATCTTACATAAGAAATGTAACCATGTATGAGATTCTTTAAACTATATTTCCAAATATTTCTTCATGATCTCAATTGTAATATGCCATTTGTCGTGTTGACCATGCCCGATAAATATTCATTATTTTATGAAAGGTTACATTGAAAGCCTTTGTATTATTATCTATCTAAAATAGTTATTTCCATACGCTTTAAGGTATCATATAGAATGTTTTCTTTTGAATGTTTGACAATATTTTTGACAACTCAATTTCAATATTTGAATTCTAGTTTTATCATATTCTTTTCATTATAACTAGTTACTAATGCATGTTTGATAACATCCTTAATTTGGAAAAAAAAATTCATTATTCCTTAATTACAAATACAACCTGATTACTTGCACATGAACCTAGTAAGTTGTCATGCAACGCGAAACTTGTTTGGGTTTGGGAGGAATAGGATCATTCATGGAATCAAGATGTTTACTGGATTATTTCAAGGATCGTGTAAAACACTTTTCGAATATGATATTTCAACCTTATGCTTGAGTATCACGAAATCCAGATTATGAGGATAATCCTTCAAGAAACAATTTCAAATCAGGACACTAATAATAAATCACTAACTAGAGATTTATATGAATTGGAACTATTCTGATTACCAAAGATAACTTATCAATCAATATTAAATGCTCATTATATCCCTATAAGAGAAATTAAATATCCTCTTACCTTTTGTTCCTATCTATTTAAAATGATAACAAGTGTACAAATTTAACATTTCAATCAAATTTAAATTAAATTGAATGACACTTGTCATCATCTAAAATAGGTAGGAAGATAGTATGAATAAAAAGTAGGATGATATTTCATTTCTCATCCCATAATTATAGGATAACAATTTTAGATAATTATTATAAAACATAATTCAAAATTATATATCGTCAGAGGCACCGCTCCCTTACTCCCGTCATTTGGTCGAACTGAGATCAAACTTGTTTTATACAAAGTGTGAACTATGCACCTCCTAAAACTTGTCTAAGATGATCAAGATTTGAGCTTTCGTTGGTAACCTTATAAATTTTATTATACCAAAATCATCTGGTGGCATTAAAATCACCAACAAAACTCATGTTGATTATTACGAAAATACTCGAAAGGTAATTTTGGATGTTAAGAGTATATTGGTTACTATATTTGTTTCATTCTACAATTAATAATCAAGGTTATGTTTTTTTAGGACGGCATATATTTATAGAATAATCAAGGTTATGTTGTTGCTAAAAAAGACTTCCTATGTAATCATTATTCACACAACTATGCATCTACATTATTATTTAATTGTTCCCACGTTCTTGCATTAGTGGTAAGAAAGTAAAAATCTATATGTAGGAACGTGCATGGATGGCATTTATACATACATCATTACATTTAATTATTTATTTTCTGATATTTCACTTTCTTAATTCTTAGGTAGTTTTAGAATATCGAAATATCAATAAGAGAAGAAAGAAGCCACCGAGAAACTGGCCAAAGTACAAGGATCCAAAGCAATATGTTGCAAATATAAGGATTCATCAACTTTAACTTAAATGTCACTAGAGCTAAATAAACCAATGCATATAGCAATATTGGTGCATATGAGCTCGTGGATAAGGTTGAGAATGATTTGAAGAGCCAAAAGTTTACTTTCAATGTTAAAATCTAGCAATAATCTAAAAGATTATAAATGCAATGACCAAAATAAAAACTGATTTTCAATTGCAAGTTCATTTGTATAAAAAACAAATTAAACAATAACATCTTAAAAAGTAAACAAAACTTGAGGGACTGATTTGTAATTAAAGACATTAATGTGGGCCACAGGAACCATCAATGAAGGTTCATATGGTTGGAAATTGCAAGTGGGCAAGTTGAGACCGAGAAACAGAAAACAAATATATATTATTTAGAAAATTAAATTAATCACGTGATGAATGTATAAACTACCGTACCTGATGACGTCATGTTCTAGATGACTTCTGTAAACTTCAAATTTCGTCCGTTTATTATTATATAATCCCAATTTCAGCCCATTCATTTTTTCCATTTCATCTCAAAATAACTTTGTTAACTAAATGTCGTTAGGTTGACACGCGTTTTCGTCAACAAATTAGATAAAGTAAGAAAATTTTGAAAATTTTATTAAATCATAACAACTAGGGGTGCATCCCCACAATACATAGGAACCCTAAAAATATTACACCTTATAAGTTATAACTAGTTTCCAAATTGATATATGATCTACATTATGATTATTAATTTTGATTATACATAAAAATCAGGAGCTGTGGATCAAGAAAAAAATATTTACGGGTTTCATATATTAGTGAATACTCAACTACATCAACATTTTAACATGGTTTATAATTGATACGTGGTAAATCCGTCGCTAAAACCATTACAGACGGATTACTAACATATTACATTTGATGGAAAATTTAAAGGGTAGCTCGTGCTACCCTGGGCTAGATACAAGGTCTGTTCTTGATAAAGAAAAATTAATTTCGGTTAGTGATACACCATTTAAGATTAAAATAAATATGTAAAAAATACATAAACAAATATGCAAAGTAACTACTACATATTAGGTAATTTCAAAACACAAATGTGTAAAACAAATTAGTAGATATGTAAAAAAAACTAATTTTGTAAAAATAAATCTGTAAAAAATATATAAAGGAAATTATAAAATTAACACTTTTACGAAAAGACTAAATTTTTAAAAAACATAAAATATAATTTTTTGTTGTCCAACTTTTTCTTCAAAAAGATGGACCTATTTGTAAAACAAATTAAAATTTAGCCAAAATGATTAAAAAGAAAAAATTGGCGATTTTTAAAAAAAATGGCCTAAATTTATAAACAAATTAAAAGCAGATCAAAACTATAAAAAGATAAAGTTATGTGACCAAATTTGTAAAATAAAATTAAAAAAAAATGTTGACCAAATTTGTAAAACAAATTAAAGCTGGGCCAAAATAATAAAAGGATAGTTGGGCGACCAAATTTGTAAAGCAAATTAAAACTTTGCAAAATGAAAATGAAAGAAAGAAAGTTGGGCCGTGCATGGGGTCTTCTAGCGGGTTAGCCCGGACCCAGACAGAACACAGAAAATAAAATATGCCATGAATGAATCATCATCCTCTTCATCATACGCCACTGAATCTAGTAGGCTAGAATTTATTTATATTTAAAGTTGCGACTTATTAATATATAAACATTAGCTAAAGTTGTTAAAATTATTATTCATCATGTCACATCAAATGTTGGTAGTTGTAAGGATTTTTTATAACAAATTATATGAAATAGTATAATTAAATTGATTCTCAACAATTTAATTATATTATTAAAGAAGAATATAATACAAAAGAATCTAGCCGTGGGGTCTTCTAGCCAACGGATCAAGAAGAATATACATTAATACTCTTCCACGGTTTAAACAAATATAAAAATTTAGACTGCACCAAAAATGAAGAGCTATAATAATATGGTGGGTTTTCTACACTAACACACTATCGAACCCAAAACTCACAAATTATTGTTGATTAATTATGTTATACAACTCTAATCTTTTACCAAACTCGAGACAGATACACTTCAACATAAACATATTTATAACAAAAACAAGATAATCTAGAATAAATTTCTGAATAACCAAAAACCTAGGGGTTTCTATACGAAAACAAAATGAAAGTTAATAACTCCTTTATTGACCAAATTTTTTCCAAAAAGAACTATATAATTGTTATCAGACCTATCTAACATTATACTAACTAAACAACACACTAATATCACTTATTTCATCAAAATCACGAATTCGAAATATGATTTCTGAAGTGAAATAGTATGTGAAACCCAACAAGAATTTGATTACTCCGGATTAGTTTTTTGTAGTGAAGTAGTCTGTGAAACCATCCTTTATAGAAGAATTAACAAACTGTATGCCATAAAAACACCATATCTGACGACTGACGATAAATAAAAGTGTTAGATTACGATTCATAACTAATATCATCCTTTAATCAAGAATATATGTAATATATGTAAAAAATTATGAATACATATCAAATGTATTAAGGCTTTTAATTACTATAAAGAAATGACATTTTGGGGCTAAAGAGTGTCTATCCATGTTTTCAATTGATTTATATAATACATAAAAGCACAAATGTTCAAAAGAAAAAGATAAATAGAAAGGCGGGAATTATTATATTTGTTGGTTGAGAAATAAAAACGAAATGCATTTATTGTATTTTATTATTGAATTTAAATTATGATGGGATGAAATAACTTTATTTTGGAATTGAACTAAAAGAGGAAAAAGTGCTAAAGTTGTGCTTTATAGGTTGTTTTGATGTAAGCCAAATCCCCAACTTACGTATGGTTCCATCAGGGTTTTTGATGAATTAAGTTAATTGGTGTAACTTTTGATGAAGAGGGATCTAATAATCCAATTACAACATGTACGAATTACTAAAGTTGTTTGGACTGATGCTGAATTGGGTTGATATCAATGGTTTATTTAATGTGGAAATTTTAAGTGAATTGATGTTATATGTCAAAGTTAAAGGAGAATATGAATTAACAACTCATATCCAGATGAAAACAAGTGAAATGTAGTTGCCTATTGATTATGGCTTCAGAGTGTGACATTTGTCTTTGTTAGAAAGAAAGTGAATGTAGATGAATTGAAAGTTAGATGTTATTTTTAGCGTATTATGAGAAATTGAATCTAGAATGTATATCAGTTACAAAATAGATCGCAAGGAAGTTATAAAAGTTACCACATGGAAGTAAATTGTTGTAATTGGGAACTTGATTGCAATTTTATGCTTCTTTTAATCCAATAGATAACAAGCAAATAAGCAATCATACGATTCTAATTATTTTGACATCAAGTTGGAGTTAATTAATTTTAATTGTTTATATAAAACGATTCTAATTATCTGATTATTTAAGTGTCAAATATTCAATGTTGAGCCCCCTTACAACAATATTGAGTATCCAAGTTAAAACAAACTTACCACGTTATCCCTCTTTTAAACCCTAATGTTTCTTCACCTCATATTTCAAATATGAACTATTCTAGCATTACATAAGAATGTCATTTTGATCATTTTACTATCAGTTATCAAAAAAAAATAAAAAATCATAATTTGCCGATCACTCAACTTTGATTATCGAATATCATATAATCACTTTGAAAACAGAGAATTAATCCCGAATGTTGAAATCACACATGCAAGAATTTGGTATATTATTTGAAAGATGGTTCCAAAAAAATTACAAATTATGTCTAAATGCTTCCATGAATAAAGAATAGCAAACGAAAACTAGCAGCAATTTGTACAACCCATTTAATAAAAATCATACTCTTGAAAAAAAAAAACAGAAACTATAATAATAGCTTACATGAAAATGATGATATGAAAATCAAAAAACTTGAAAAGCAAATTGGAGTGTTGTGGTAAATGGTGAATGGTGATAGTTTTATTTATTAACCTGAGCAGCAACCGCCCTTCTGCCCGACAGGCTGCCCCTTAAGCTGCACAGATGGCGGCCTCATGTTGTTTGACCCGGGCTGACTTGCCATCCTGTGTATTTAATGGAATGGAATCAGTAATTACATTCCATCATTGTATTTTTCCAAGAATGTTAAAAATGAATTCTTTTTGTGGGGTATCTACCTGTTTTTGATATCAGCAGACATGGCCATAAAAGCCTGTTCAACATTTGTAGCATCTTTAGCACTAGTTTCCATAAATGGAATACCAATTCCATCCGCAAATTCCTAAACAAAATAGAGGAGTATTATATTTTTTATCTTCTTTTTAAAATACAAAATTACAAAAAAAAAAAAAAAAAAAAGAAAGTACCTTAGCAGTGTCATAGGACACAGCTCTGCTTTCTACAAGATCACATTTGTTTCCAACAAGAAGTTTGTTCACATTTTCACTTGCATAGCGATCAATTTCACTCAACCATTGCTTAACATTGTTGAAACTTTCTAAATCAGTGACATCATAAACTATCTGCATAAAAGACAATCAATTTCTATTACTTATTTCTTATCAATTAATAATTTTTCTAATTCTTAAAGAGATATAAGAATTTGAATTTTGAAAAAGCATACTATAATGCCATGTGCCCCTCGGTAGTAGCTACTAGTAATTGTCCTGAACCTTTCTTGTCCAGCAGTATCCCACTGCATAAACATTCAACATTAGTTTCATACAAATATTATTTTATATATATATTTGATTATTTTCAGAAGAAAATCCTCACAATTTGAAGCTTAATGGTTTTTCCATCTTGTTCCACAGTGCGAATTTTCTGCAGAGTGGATGAGAGATTTAATTATTCATCATGATGAACATGGATATAATACAAATAAGATTAGATTCTTACAAAGTCAACACCAATTGTGCTTATGTAGCTGTCAAGATATGAATCATCCTGTACCAAAGAGATCAAAGCAAGAAATAAGAAGCCATGGAATAACAAATCAAGCAATATGTGTGTAATGTAGGTGGAATTATTGAATTATGTCTTACAGCAAATCTAAGCAACAGGCATGATTTTCCAACTCCTGAATCTCCAATCAGCAAAAGTTTGAACAAGTAATCACTGGAATAGATATGGAAAGTGTCACATGCCATAAAAAGAGCATATGTTAATGAACGAATTGAATCGATTTCGAATAACTGTAATACAATTGTCAATTCACCACTAATCGCAACCTAATGTAATTGAATGTATAGTGTTACGTCCCTACGCAATTCTCGCAAACGTATATACCGTTTTCAAACTTCAAATTCAAGCGATTAGAGAAGATCAACGGAGTTTTAGCACGTAATGCTAAAATTGATGTGATTGATTTAGCGAATAGGAAGACGAGCTTAAGCAATTACACGATCATCTCGACAACAAATGAGATCCGATTAAATTAAACCGAATCGACAACAATGGCGATAGAGATTAGTCATTGTTGATAATTAACAACAGAAGCAGATCTAACAGCGAATGGATTTAAAAACGATACGAGAAAACAGAGATCGGGGACTTACTACTCGTGATTCATGATAAAGAATTTGCAGTGATATATAAAGGGGCCGACTGATCCAACGGTGTCTGACGGCCGGAAAACTGGATCTTCACCGGAAAAGCAAGAGCAGAAGAGAATTATGGCACCTTGATTCGTTAATCAATGGAAGGCAATGAAGAGGGGAGGATGGTATTAACAAACCGACAGATGGGAGAGAGGAAGAATGTAACAAACAAACATGGGAATTTACGAGGTGTCTCTGCTTTTAACCTTACTGCCACCATATCCTAACATTACGTTTGAATTTTTTATTGTTTTTATTCATGAAAAATAATAAAATATTAGTAAACTAATTTAATTAAAATAACTAATATTTTCGTATATTATACATAAAAGATGTAACTTTAGTCATTTTTATTTTAGGAAAATACTTTTAAAAATTAACATTTAATAAGTTACATTATAGGTTTATAATCAAATAAAAAATTTTGATTATCTAAAATATATATTATTTTTAGTAATAAACTATTTGATTAATAACTTATAGCATATGTCTTAAAATATTAAATTTGCAAATGTTTTTCTCAACATAAATATTCATTGAATATATTTAATTTGTTTATGTCCAAATATGTATCGCATATCGTGGTAAAGATAATAAATAAAAAGAGAAATCCGAATTCTAAAATATTAAAAGATAAAGATAAAAATTTAGATGTTTGTTTTTTAAAAATAAAATATATGTAGTCCCCGGAACATATCTATAGAAAAAATATAGACCAAACTTCTACACTCTAAGAAAAAAAATTGTTTGGTTTTAAAGTTTGCATGTTGCTAAAACAAATATAAATTATAAATATAGGAATGGATGGTCCTTTCATTGCAAGAAGTCTAACTAGAAAATGATCTCCCTATTACTTTGAGAAGAGAATTGTTGGTTTGTGGAAAATGGATCTTCTTTCTTTTAGAAAGCATTTTTTGAAATTAACAATTCCATTTAGTTTGGTTTCGGAAAACCTTCCGTCAAAAACTTTCCGTCAAGGCCTAACATCAAAGTGCAGACTGATATCTATGGTTGAGGCTAGAATTCATTTTTACACGTGGGAAGGGCTTACTCTGCTAGAAAAATTGATTGTTTTTAAAATTTTCATGTTGCTAAAACAAATATAAATTATAAATATAAAAAAAACACTTCAAAATTAAAATATCAATTAAAATATGAAACTTAAATAAAAAACTTAGGTTTTTTAGAAAAGAGATGACTTACTTATTTATGTAATTAATAAAACAAAGAAATAAAATGCATGAGTGTTTTGAATCAACAACGAAAGGAACATTGCATTTGGATGGGAAGCTGCCAACAACACAAACGAAAGTCGTCGTTACAAATGTTTGTGCAAGAGTTTCTATTTCGGATGACGTTTGCAAGATTTGGAAAATATTGGATCATGTCTTTTTGGAGAAGAGGACATACAAGGGTCTTCAGTCTTCTATAAAACAAACAGTTTGTGAAATAAATATATATTCGTCCGCAGACAAGAGGCTTTAGGTTTATTAGTACGTTTATTAATCAATAACGTTATTAGTTTTTGATAAATAATAATAAAAAAAACTATTTTCATGCATTCACTTATCGTCAACAATTAATAGACTGTGTTCAAAAGACGGGGCAAGGACTTGGTTACGTTATTATACAATTTATCTATTAGTGGGATCGTGGTGCGGTTTACAAAATTAAAAAAATATCCACAAAAAATATTGGTAGAAAAAAAATTGTCCATTCGAACTGAAAAGTCAAGTATTATTCGGTAGAAATCGTTGGTTCTTAAAAGCGATATGTGAAATGCATAATCATGAGTATGCCTTACATTTAGGACACTCATATCCAAAGCGTTAGTCTGAAAATGAAACCCGATTAATTGCAGACTTGATAAGAAAAAAATATGAAACCACGAGATGTTGCGCTCTTGTTCTATAAAAAATTTAAATCACTTTTTTTGTTGGCATATTTCATAAACGAGTTGTTTCTTAGGCTTTGGCATGCGTATTACATGGTTGTATTTAGCATTGCGAGTTTTTATCAAGTTATTCAAGTTAGAATTGCACTTGAGCTTGATGGAGTTCAAGTTTGACTTTCACCCAATTTCGGTTCATTTCTAGTTTTAAAATATTATGTTTAATTGTAAAATCATGTAATTTACTTTCTTTCCAAAATTCACTTGATTAGATTAGATTTGGGAAGTAATTCATATACAAATTTTTTTTCCATACACAACAATTTATGTTTTATAAAGTTATACAATACAACATTTTAAGACACAAATTGTTGTGTATGAAAAAAAATATTGTGTACGGATCAGCTCCCGATTAGATTACTAGTTAATTTCAATAAAATTGTTTCTATTTTAATTTTCAGAAATTTGCAATACCTACAAAATTTAGTTATTGCCTATATAAATGGCTGAACGTGAACCTTTTCCAGGCACCTTGCGATTAATAAACATTTTCCTTTTGCAAAATACTTTGATGTTTTTATTTAAGTTGTTATCCATCATAACTTGTTATCTTTGTTCACATATTCTTGGAACATCTTGATAGCCTTCGCCTCATATTTACTGCCATGAGTATTAATTTAAGTACATTTTGTTATCCAAGATGAATCATCACAAAAACAAGTTGTATTGTGTTTGACATGCACTGAACTGAGATTAAAATCGATGTCAATAGGATAAAAATTGTAATTTTTTGTCCCACCAAAAAAATGTTTCATCATCACCTAAAATAGCCCTAGAAACCACATTCATTGTAACAAACACAAGATGTAAATCGAAACAAACTCGCAATAATATATATTCTCTTGGAACAAAATGATACATGCAACTTTTTGTTGCATTATGTGTATGAAGATTATTCTATATAGTGTACTCAACTCTTAGTGTAGTATATATATATACTTTACTATGTTTAACTAGGGAATACACAAACTTTACTAGTACAAAAAACCGTACCGAAATTAATGTTTCACCAACATTTCCTCAAGTCCATTCTTTCTTGCAGCATGTTTTAGTTTCTCTAATGCAACAAGTCCAATTTGCCTAACGCGTTCCCTCGATAACCCTATTCTGAAAATTCATATATATAAATTTATAATCAAAGATGAGATCGGTTAACATAGGCTCTTAAACTTGATTTTAAAAGTATATTTCCTAAAATAGAAATTTACTGAGAGTGCTATAAGTTTGTACCTTTTACCGATATCCTCCCAATAAAGGCATTCCTTGTCAAGACCATAGTAAAGACGAATGATATCTCTCTCGCGTTCCCCTAGAGTCATGTTTATGAGCTTGTTTACTTCATACTGCAAATTGCAAAATCAAAAGACTTTTTAGGGCTATTTTCAATGTTTGAGTCTCTGTCTTATATCTTGTTACACCTTTTTGGGTGTGACAAAAAGTATCTAATTTGAATATTACATTTTTATGTTGAAATAAATACCTTGAGAGCTGCTTCATCTACTCCATGCCATGGGTCGTTTTCCATGCAATTATCTGCAATGTCCTGCAGGAGTTACAACAAAAAAAAAAGGTTAAAAGTAAAGAAGGTGATGTAGCAGTTGAGAGAATTTCACAACTCTGATAAATATAAAATAAGTAGCTAATACTGTATTACTTACACTATCAAGTGTTTGTCCAGGATTATCAAGTGAAAATACTTTAGTGATTGCCTACATCAAGTAACATATTTTATATTTGTATTAAGAACATGGAAAAAAAAATATGGAAATACCAAGTTAGCAAAGATCTTTAGTACCTGAGTTGCGTTTATAACTTTTTTTCTGGATATGTTCAGACTTTCTGTAATTCTCTGTGGTAAAGAAAGCAAGTAAGCAAGCATAAGAAAAGAAAAAATAAATAAATAAATTGTTATGTTAACTTACATCAATTGATGGAGTTATTCCTTGTTCCTCTAGTTTGGCTTTGGCATTCCGGATTGCACTTTGTCTTTCATGCAAATGAGTAGGTAATCTTAGGATTTTAGAATTCTCAATCAGAGCTCTTGAAACACCCTGTTATAAAAAAAGACGTAAATACCCTCCTTGATGGTGAATTTAAAAAATAAATAAATAAAAATCATCCATAATTCACCTGTCGTATCCACCAATAAACGTAGGTAGAAATCTTGAAACCTCTTGATGAATCATACTTTTTTATCCCTTGAAGTAGTCCAATTAGACCTCCCTACATGACAATAAGTTAATTGTTAAAAAAAAAAAAGAGAATTCTTCAGCTATAAGTAATGGCAATTTATTATATTTAAAAAGTAATAATTTCTTAAGGCACCTGAATAAGATCTGCCATTTGAGCTCCCATGTTATCATATCTTTTAGCAATAGACATCACTAAACGGACATTGCTCATTGCAAGCTTCTCTCTTGCCAAAGTGCTTTCAATTTGTTTTTTTCTTAAGTCCATTCTTGAAATCCTCATGGAACTTGCAAGTTGCCCTTCTGAAGGTTCATATCCCAATTTTTCCTTCAGTCTGAAAAATAAGCTCAATATTAGTAACTTTACATCAACCATTTTTGGTGATATTGATAAAAAAATATGTAACAGATAAAGTTCAAATAAAAGTATGTTGCTATTATATGCAAATTTTAGTTACCTTGATTTCTGCTCTTCCAAGCGTAAACCGATTTTAATTTTCTTTGATAGAATGATCACCTCAGATTGAGTGAGAAGTCCTTCACTTCTTACCCCTTTAACATGACCTTTAAACTGATTTTGAAGGAGCTCTGAACCAATTTCAGAGCAACTATTTGGTGTTTTCTTCCTTGCTGCTATTCTACGCTTTCGTGCAGATATCTGTGAGCTAATGATGTGAATTTTTTTGCTGTTTTTTTCTGTGGGAGTATCTGTAGTTGTATTAGTATTCTTCTCAGTTGGAAGTTTCCACTGCTTTTCCAGGAAAGATTGTAAAAGTAGTAAAGCTTCAACAGGAAGTTCTTGTTCAGAGCTTTTGTCTTCCAAGTGGTGAAATCTTTGAACCCATTGGTCTGTAGAGATTGAAGGATCAGAAGAAGTAGCTACATGTTGTTTTAAAGCTCTTATGGAATGGGAATCTGTATCTCGTTTGGATGTAAGACTATGGCTGTAGTTGGATGGTTTCTTTGCAGTGATTGTGTTCTTGGTAGTGACAAATGTGAAGCTAATATCACCATTGCAGGAGAATTTTTCAGTTGTATCTGAGTAAAAATAGGATGAACCCAAGAGGCTATTTGTTGCCCTTAGTCCAATTGCAGTTGTAGACATCATTTGTGTAGCTTGATTCAACTTGTATGAAATTGTGTCATATACTCTCAGAACATTGTTTTACAGAAACCAGGATATAGTTTCTCTTGAACATAAAGTACATGACTGTTGAACAGGTCTTCAGGGTTACTGGTAATTACTTGCTTAAAGTTTCTGAACAGAAGAAAAGAGAAGATTATAATAAAAAGAGAAAATGTATAACAACTATCAAAGTAATCATTAAATTTACTCAAAAAAGGTAGTGATGCTATAAAATACAATCAGGGCACTCAAATCCCAAGATCTGGAACAGAGATTGGAACTGTGAGAGCCCCAATCTGTTGCTCCAACGCAAATACATAATAACTTATCAGCTTATCTAAATGTTAGTTCATGATGTTCATCATCCCCAATTTGTTTCGCAACACAAATGCGCCAAGATCATATCGGCTTTGCTTAATGTTTGTGCCACAACTTTGAATTTATAATTGAGTTTAGTTATGAAATACATCCACTCGAATTCAAATGTTATGCCAATTACTCATTCTCCATTTTGAATTGATGATTTACAATCCTAATCGCAGGTCAAACCATAGACATTCAACAAATCGCCGATAACATACCTGTAATAACGTTCAGTCAATAACAGCACGAATTACTTATTTAACTAATCTATCGCTAAAGAACAATGTACCAGAAAGAACAATATGACACAGCGGATTTCATAAACAGAACCATCCATGATTCTTTGAGTTAGCTGTTCAATTGATGCAAATTGCAAAACACAAGCCTTGTCATAAAATCAAAAATCTCAGCAGATGCATTGTAACTAAAATCTCAAAAACGATAGATCACAAATGGAGTAATCAATCACAAAACTACATCAAACGACACAAATTATTACATGAAGGATAACATAAAAACGAAAACGAAGTCATCTTCGACATTACCTTCGGTACCAAGCTCATTCAATGGTGGAGAGAGAGAGAGAGAGAGAGAGAGAGAGAGAGAGAGGTGATGATAACCAGGATGAACGAGTGAACCTGAATGCAGAGGAGGTGCAACTGTATCAACTTCTGCCTTCGTTTTCCTCTAGAAAACAACATTTCTTGTTTCTTTCTCCCCCTTTTTTTTTTTTTTCAATTTTAATAATTTTATCATAAAAAATTTATGCGTTAAATGCAGCAAGTGATTGGATAAAGCGTATTTTTATTTATTTATTTATTTATTATAATATTTTTCTTTTTATATTTAAACGTTCATTATATTATAACAATATCTTTTAAATACAAAACTATTTTTTATTACTATAATCAGATATAAATTCTAAAATGTAATATCCTGATTAGATATTTGTTATATATTTTCTCCTAACAAATAAAAAATAAGTAAAAATAAAAAGTTTTAGCTAAAAACGAAATGAAACATTACAATTAGCTAACTTTAAAATAAATATAATCATTAAATATATATTATATTCAATTGGGTGATGTATCCAAGGTGGAGGAGATTGGGTTTGGACAACCAATTGTGACTTGTGGGTGTGGTGTTGAGTATGGCAATAAAATTGTGTAATTTAGTTCAGCTGCTGTAACAAATTAATTTAAAGGGACTTAATTATTTATGGGTGTTGATAATAAGACACCCCATTGATCACTTTTTAAAAAGTCAACCAATAATTAACTATTTATAATCAGTTTTTTCGAAAAACAATACAATTTCAACCAATAAAAAATTTCAAACTTAAACTATGGTGTCTATATGGTATAATAGGGTGTCTTTTTAGCAAACCTCATTATTTATTGAATTGATTAATATATGTATACATCAAGGTTCTAAATAACGGAAGGCGTGACTTGGCGGCAATGTCAAGCTCAAGCTTTTCCAAACATTGGCGAATCATGTCGTTTGTAAGGCGTGATTTTAGGCGGCAATTTTGTATATAATTAATATTTTTATATGTATTTTCAACTATTATTCAGTTTTATACACATATATGAGTTAAAGCGACATTTTGTTAAAGCCTGGCGACAGGTACAAGCCTTGGAATCATGACGAGCTTTTTAGAACCTTGGTATATATTTAAAATAAAATATGTACTCTAAATATAAAAATTTAAGTGATAAGGACTTAGAAAAGTATTTATACAACCTCCCGTTATTTCATTTTATACGAAAACTCATAAACGCAATAAAAAATCAAAGGATATCATATTCCGAGAAATCCATTACAGATGACAAAATCAACAGGTTAGATTAATTTTGTAATATGCTCGAATATGTTTGATCACAATTCAAAATGAGTGATTTTCATTTCAGGTTGGATTGGTATGTCTATATTTTTATGTTTATTTTAAGTAATTAATGATTTAAATATGATTACTAAAATCATTCGTTGATGCAAATGGAGGTTTCAGTTGTTAGGTTTATGGAATCTAACTTTTTGCAATGTTTTAAATTATCGAATAATCGATTTTACGTTTTAAAATAGTAAACAACTAATATTTTATATATGGTTAATATTACATGTGTTTAAATAGGTCGATCATCTTTCACATCTTTCATTTTGGCCTAGTTTTATTACAAATTTGGTATGAATTTAAAATTTTGTTACGAATCCGTAGGGTGGCAAATCAGGCAGTCGTTCCGTGTTATTGCCTTAGACAACACGATACAAATTACTTTTTCTTAACCCGAACACGACACGGCACGCTGACATCTTTTTGTTTGTTAACGACTCAATAAAAACACGACAAAAACGAAAAAAAACGTTATCACAACAAAAATAAGAAATAATTAAAGGAGAGTCTTTCTCCCATGAGAATAAAGAAAGTTTTTTGGGCAAGACAAGAAAGGAACTTGCCCTTTGACACCAAGGGGTAAGAGCGGATTGTTGGCGATGACTTGGTGAAGGGAATCTATGAGAGAAGGTTCTCGACGAATAGGGTTTCGACCGAATAGAGCGCAGAGCTAACGAGTTCAGTCGAACAACGTAACATGTCTAAGGGCGCTAAGGGGGCAAACGAAAATGAAATATGAAATAAAAAGATGCTTTGGGAGTATGATATAGACGGACAGGGAGTAATCATTTACATAAAATCATACGTAAGTTCTTGCAAAAAAAATATAATTTAAACACGATAAACACGAGTAACGCGACAAAAAAGAACATAAAACAAGAAAATGGTACTAAATATACAAGAATTTTGAACATGAACACGAGCACGATGTTTCGTGTTATTGTTGTGTCGAAAGTTGAACACCAAACGACGTCATGTCTCTTATACATAACATGAACACGAATTCAAATTTCGATTTCACTCCAATTTCGCTTCGTGTAGTGTATTTTTGTTGTATCGTGCGACTTTTGCCACCCTACTAATTCGTCCCAAATTTAGTTTTTTACTAATATATTTTTCTATACTATTTTAAGATTTTTTTATAATGGCCTCATGCAAGCCCAAAACATGATCCAATAGCTAAGCCCAATCCACTTTGGGCCTGGGCCTAAGAATCCTCGGCCCAACACCCTATTGGACCAAAAACTCCTGCCTTGGGCCTTATTGGGCCGAAAGTCCCTTTCCTTAGGCCTTATTGGGCCGAAAACTCCTATCTTTGGGCTTTAATGGACCAAAAACCCCTTAATGTGCCAAGCCAAAACCGAAAACCCCTTTTGGGCCTTCCATTGGGACAAAAACCTTTCTAATGGAGCAAATGAAACCCGAAAACCATTTGAGGAGCCTTAAGGCCGAAAACCCTAAAGGGTTTCGGCTAGAGCATGTATTAAACAAAAAAAAGGAAAAAGGAATGGATAAAGAGGAGTTGCCACCTCGTTTTTACTCAACATACAACAATGCTTTGGACCCCCATGTATCCAAGTAAGTATCCCATCAACCAATCAACAAAGTCAACTCTCTTCCTCTCTCCCTCTTATGTTTGGCCGCAAACACCACACCCTCACACATACAAAACACTTTCATTTTCTCACTTTGCTCTCAAAGAATCCTTCTCATTTCTCTCCCAAAAATTCGAAGTGTGGTGCCATCCTCAAGGTTTTCTTCAAACAACTCACAAGAACTTGAACTTCCACCATTTCGAGAATCTCTCCAAGTTCAAGGCTAGGCTCGACATTTCTTCTTTCTCCTTCTTCCTATCACACGAAAAACACCAAGGTGAGCTTCATACCCCTATCTTTTCGTGTTTTCCATGCTTTTTTTTTGGGGGGGGGAGGGGGGGGGGGAATACAAGTCAAATATCGTTTACCCTTTTGAATAATTACATGCATCATAGTTATGGTTTAAAAATGAAACAAGTTCTAGAATAAAAAGTATTCTTATCATGTGATAAAATCATAAAATAAATGTTGATAACATCTTGTGTTATAAAAGTTTTGTAGCCATGTTTGTTCACCCAAAATGGCAAAAATATGGGTATTATACTGAAATATGTTTAACCCTTGGACATAAGCACTTTTAACACTTATACTTACACAAATACTTGAATATAATAAATTTTAAAGTTATTATATGTATTTTGTAGAAATGGTGACTTATTAGAGTCAAAACTAAATAAATTATTTTCTGTAACAAGACTTTCAAACTAGATATGGTGTGTTAAACAAACTACAAAACTTGATTAAAATATTTTGCTAAAAATAATTTTTACTAGTGAAATGGTCGTAACTATGTTGTCACTATTTTAACGTTTTAAAACCTAGAGTATTATGCTATTTTTCACAATATATATTACAAATAGACATGTCCATTAACATTTATTTATCAAAAGCGTTATAAATAATTTGACCAAAAAGGTATACAAACAGAATTTACGACAGAAAGATTCGTTGTCATAATCTGTCTATCATAAAGTTATCAAAACACGAGTAATAAATTGTATGTCATAAAGCTATAAAACGCGTGTCATAAAACTTCAGTCATAAATTTACACTAGTAAGGTTATTTTCATTATTCAGTAATGGGAGTCAAAGTTCGTGTAGATTTGTTAAGGCTCTTGTGAGACTCTCCTTCGCCGTACCTACCTATCATACACCGTAAGTCATGTAGTTATAACCAAAGTCTCCTTGTGGGAGAGCGGGGTAGTTGTGTATAGATCTATACGGGGTTGACATCCCTACACCTGAGCTGTTCGCTACAGCTAGACGGGCCAGTCTAGGGTGACAAATATCTTATCGGAACCGACTCCTGAAGAATGTCATGACAGACATTCAGTCGCATCAAGTATGATTGTAACAACTCATATAGGGATTAACAACACTATTTTGGTTTACGAGAAGCTTTTACTTCATTAGTTTTATTAAAAGAAATGAAACTATATACTATTTTCTGTACACTATTCATTTCCATCGTGGTCTTAGGGTTTAAGACTACAGTTCACTATTAAGAAAATATTGGATTTTCTGGATATATACATCATTACTTTACAAGGAAAAGACACAAAGGGATTACTTACAACTTCAGTTCACTCATTTTAAAGAAAATATAGGATTTTCTAGAAACGTACGCTTTATATTTACAAACAAAAGAAAACAAAGGACATGCATGCATTTATTCACAGTTTTGGAACGAGACTTACAAACTATTTTCAGAGAAAATATCGGATTTTCTGAAAGTACTACGAGAACTATTCTAAACGATTAAAAACCATTTTATACAAAAATGCTTATGAACTCACCAACTTTTTAGTTGATGCTTTTCAAAATGACTTGTATTCTCAGGGAACCAGTAACAGGTTTTCAAATCTGCTATGAGATCAAGTGGAGCAACTTTATGAAATGTTACTTTTTGTCACTTTTGTGTAACTGATGAACAAGTACAATATGTAAACTATGTAAGCATGTATTTTCAATGTACGAACATTTGTGTTGTTATGTTTCATTACTATTCAATTATTGTGATATTGTACATGAAGTCACTCCATCCACCCCCAAACGTTTCTGCCGTTCTGGTTTAGGGGTGTGACAAAAAGCGTGAGAGTGCATATTCAGTTTACCAACAACATCTTGCAAACAGACCTGTCAATGTAAGTATAAATATTAAATAATAAATGATAACATAATATATCAATCCAAAATATTTGGTCGGTGGCTGAGGCTTTACCGTTTTATGCGTAAG